CGCGCTTTCGCGCTGGCGAAACGCTGAAACTCACCTGTTGGCTGTACCGTGCTGGTGAGGTTGGCGACGAACCGGACGCCAGTAGTAGGCACTGTCACCAGGCGCGGGCCAGAGATTGAAAGCGTCAGCGGCTGACTTCGTCCGGAGGGGGTGTCGACTATGGGGGCGATTTCGTTGTTACGTAACCGCAACGAAGACTTGGCGATCGGCACGCAGTAAAGGAAACGGTTTCGCTGAAAGCCGGGCTTGCAAATACAAAAGCCATCGGTCGTTGAGTTGATCATAAGCCAGCAAAATTCATTATCACTGCAGCTGTTGTTGCGCGGCGAACACGGACTGAGGCTGAAGTTGTGTTGCGCAGTGCAGATACTTAAATTCAGGTCCCAAGTGAACCCTTCAGGACAAAGACAGACGAAAGGCGACGACAGCAGCCTCAATCTCGAACACACGAGCGGATGACGACACTGTCTCGCGACGCTGTCACATACCGAGAAATATTCGCCGGTGGTGGCGGAAGAGACGACAGTGGCAGCCGCAGCGAAGACATAACGCCTCGCCAGCACCATCACCTCACAGAAAATCAAAATCGCTTTCAACGCGGGAGGCACCGTCTGATCCATTACTCTAAGCATGCAGACCGATTAAAGCGGCACCACAGACTCAGCGCCATCAAACACTGGAATTTCAACCCCGCGCTGAACAAAATGAAAACGAAACGTACGTACGATATAACAATACGTGCATACGCCGATGTAATCAACAGCAACAACAGCAGTAGCATCAGAGCATGCACCAAGACAACGAGACGGTGAATGAAAGAAATACCAAGCGACTGGTACGCACCTAACGAGCTTTCAAACCTCGCAGTTGAAAACAAGAAATTCGTTGCTACTACTTATTAAGCAAATGTAGTTCGATTGACATAATGCCATGAAATGCAGATGAATTGCGCATAAACATTTTACTAAACAGTTCATTGATTATTATGAACTATTCAATCTAGAATCAGATCTTTCTTTCAGTATACAAACTACAGAGCCGTTCGAGCACCGGAAGAAATCATTAATTCTACCAATACAGATAGTGTCGTAGTATCATCCTCGAAAGCAAAATATTGGCAACTGGCAAAGTATGGTTCAAACTACAAGACAACGCGAGCTTTCTCATAACAGAGAATCTGAAACGCATCTATAAACTGCAGGTGCAATATTAAAATGAAACAGCCAAGTTCAGAGGCCCACAGAATATTTAGAGCCAGCTGCGATGCAACCAAAAACCTCAACTGAATAATTATTACCGGCGTTACAACTGAACAAGAACTTGCACAACATTTTCACAACTATCTTAATGAACAGCATAAAATTTTGCGTGACAAAATTTCATTTCACTTGAAAGGCTAATTCACACTATACTAAAGTATGAACTGCGTACTCCTTTCTACTAGATACAGATTACTAGGTGTGGTCTGTTTAAGTATGGACATGAACCTCAGAAAAGGCAAAATGTATGTCCACAAAAACTTAGAAATTCCCTATGATTAATGTTAACTGTCAGGAAGCATCCCGATTAGCGAATTCGATTGCAAATACTCTCGTAGTCCAACTTATTTTATAATCATGATCATTGCTCCTTGGGTTAGAAATAACTTATATAGGGTCATTTGAATTTCAAAATTATAAACTGTATCAGAAAGTTTCCAAGAAACACATTTTTGTGCTGTACATCTGACTAATGAAATAAACTAAATGTTCGCTTCAAAAGCAGTCAACGACGAATTCCTGGGTCTCGAAAACCTCCTAACTCCTGGGGTAACGTACATATTTGTCGATACCTTTCTACTTGAAGATATTTAAACCCAGCATGCTAGCTTCGTGAGTTACAATTGTGCGACAACTGTGCTAAATAAAGCCCAGTTCTGGTAAAAGTTTTGCTGTTTTTATTTGACGGATTTATAGTACTTTAACAGAATGTTAAGAAACCTGGAAACGGTTAGCTAGACAGTAAAGATGCTGTGATATTCGTCAGCAGCTTTGCTGATGTCTGGCTAAGATACACCGTTGGAAACATACCTTCGGCAAGAACATCTTTTCCAGAATTTAAAATTTATTTCAACTTTATCAGTTAACCAAGCAAATTCAAGCAAATTACCAAGGCACGATGTACCGTCACGAATTGCTAATGCATTGGATCAAGTTTGTCTATAAGAATATTACACTCAAAAATGCACCGTCATCCACAGATCGGCTTTTTAACAGCCTCCATGCAGTTCGACATGATCGTAATGTCTACCAGCGCCAAAGGAGTGCCTCGAGAATAAGTGATGGCCCGCATTAAATAAGCAAAAACGTGCTGAACGCCAAATAGCTACCGGCACTGCACTCTGAGACTATTCATGAAGTGGAAATGCGGGAATGACAAATAAAACCCTATAATGAGACCAGTAATCCGCAGCATCACAAATGAAACGTTGCCGTCTGATAATCTGCAACGATTCAACAAGAACTTCAAGAAATCGTATAATCACATACATTATATATATATGCTCAATTTTGCGATGGCCTGAGGACGTAGTTGCCATTTTGCAGTTCCTCTATTGGTACTAGCATTTTCTTCTTTTCTTTCGCGGACCGAAAGCACACCTCCTTCATGCTGATGCTCTGAATGAAAACGGGCTTCGGGTCGTCATTTACCGTCTCAAGGGTGACCAGCTGACCACGCGTGTAGCTTAAAATCAAAAACGGAAGTGACGAAACAAAACTGGACGACGCGAGACGTTTTCTACCATTTTGATGAATATACCAGTTTTCCGCCGTCTACCGAAACTAAATTTGTTGTCATTCTGGTGTCGCTTTCCGTGACATTTTTCTCATCGCTGCCGAAAGCCGTTTGTTTTTCGCTTGTTTCTGAATCTCCGCTCATATGCAAGTCAACGGCGGAGGAATGGTCAGCTTTGGAGAACCTGGAGTTGCTGCAAATCTTTTTTAGATCATCAGCGATCTTACAAGCGTCCAGAGCATAACTGATAACCGGATTCGATTTTTTCATCTTTCTTTCGCTGAATGGCAACGGATCGTTGGCTCTTCGCCGCAGCTTGCGAACCGGCATCGTTTTGACGTCATATCCATCTGAAAAACAAGCAGTCAAATAAGTTCGATATCGCTTTATTCAGATGTAATGTCTGTATTACGTGTTGAGAAGTGTTCTGCGGGTGAAGCAGGACGCTTGAATACTTACATTTAGCACAGATATTTTAAGTAAGAAAGACGTTTACGTGCAGGCAATGGATATGCAGACGGTAACTTGAAGGAATGTAACAGACGAATAACCAGATACTAACACAGCAATAATGCATGCAATGAAATGATCCAATCTTGGCGAAAAAAGCGACAAGTCTATTTTTTTAAAAATGAAAAGGGAGAAGACTATTCCTAATATTATCAGGTACTGTGGCAAACAATACTTTTTAATACAAGAAAGACTGCTTCTTAATGTTCGCTGTTACGTCAAGTTTACTTAAATACTGAATTCATCAACCATAACCTACTGAACAGTGTTTATTAAAAAGCTTGACGAAGACATTTATCAAGCTTCTAATATATAATTCTACAGACTGCTTAATAATCTGTGAGCTAAAATGCAATACACAAAACATCTGCCAAACACTCTGGTCCATATTACGCAACAACGCAACCAACTGTGACTAAACCATGGCATAAATTTTATATTACTGACATTTTAATCGATATGACCACTGCTCTTAGTGGTCCCTATATAGCAAAAATGAGGAATGCATACAGAAGACACACACATACGCCATATATACACATTCAACACTGAAAATCAGACAATACAGCGTGATTGACCTAATTATCTACGGTTTACTCATCGTCCAGTTACTTGCTGCTCATTTACTTCCTTACTTGCTAATACAGATTCAGTTATTCGATACTATGCGATGCCTACTCAACTGCTTAAATACTTGCACAAAAACCTTAAGTACTCCGAAACTTATTTACTTCATTATTCTGTGACTTTATAATGTACTAACTCAGTTCTTCCATTCTTATTTATCTTCTTATGTTTTGTTTGCTTGCATACTACAGCGAAAGCTTACATTGATTCTGTGCCATGCACTTTACACAGCTGTTGATTTTCGATTCAGCTGCTTAGGGCGCAAGGCGAAAACTTTTGTTAAAAGAGCTTTATTACCTATCGCCAACATTTCGACTACTCATCAATGACCTAATTAAAGAAAACAGTCAAAACCTCATGTATATTTTGTGTTGCGTGGCCGAAACGCTGCCAGCAAATAATAAAGTACTTTAAATTCAACCTTCATCTTTAACCCAAAACCATTTAATCGAGAGATCAACAACCCTAAGTACTTAAATGTTACTTCACTCTCCTTCTTACTTATGTACCAGCTAACTTAATTACTTAAATACAGTACACTGCGAATTTTGTCAATCACAACGTTACCGCAGTTCTGAATGACTATTGTTTTGCTTAGGCAAGTACTAGCACATTTCTCTTGTTCATATGATCTCTGAAATATCTTACTTCTCTAGTATTTTTAACATTAAAATAATCAAATAGCGCTCAAGCAGCAGTTCAAGTAAAAAAGGAAGCATGCAAAAAATGAATTACTGCTGCATCCAGTTTTTAATAAAATTTTTCAGTTATGCCAAACTGCCATTAATTTTATTCCGTCATTTTTGGTACTTAGAATGCGTTTCTATGAACTACTTCGAACTGTTGCCGATGAAGAAGCCGCATAAGGCTTTTCGCATGATCTTGAAATTCATCGATTCCAGCGAATGTGTAGGAAAGGCTATATGATGAAACTAAATCTGAAACTAGATTACATAATTACTCAGTAAAGTTTAGTAAACAGGGTTATTATTTGTTGAATTATATTGTCTCACACAACGGGAAAGATAACAAACAATATTTTAAATACTGCTTTGGTAAGAGATCTAATGATGTGCAAATTCAGTTTCATGACACAACTATGAAAAAAGTTGAATTATATATAACCGCCACATTATCGCACTGAATAAATATATAACCAGTTCTCACTTATTTGAATTATTCATTCACTCGTGCTGAGCCTAAACCACCTGTCAGGAAGCTGGCAAGCACTGCAGTAATACAAAAGGCGCCGAAAAAGGCAAATCGTGCATGCTTTTCAAGGTTACACTATGGTAGTGCGTTCTCGCGATTCTTTCTAAAGTCACTTTGACTCAATGCGCCGAAGCATGATTCAGATGAGAAGCTTGCTCAAGGAATCATGAGAAACTGTAAAAAGACATTCACACTAGTCTGAATGTAAAATTTAACGTTCGAGCTGAACCCTTTAAATTACTCTTATCGCAAAAGTCATAAAATCGAACATCAGTCATGCCTGAAAATTAAGTGCACTAAAGTTGCTTACCGTTGTTAAGTTCATTGTTGTGGAACTGATATTCGATCTGTCTCCTGTTGTCTTCAAGCTGAATCAGGAGCGTTTCCTTCAGTTCTATCTTATCATCCTAAAAAATGACGTTCACATAGCAATTAACTTTTAATCATAGAATTCATGAAGAGCCATGAAAGATAAACAGATACCTTAAACCTTCGCTTTGTAGACGAAGCGAATTGAAAATTACCGCCAATAGCGCAGTTAGCTTTATCTGAGATATGCAGTCGTAGGCAGTGCTAAATTACTTGGTTCAACGTTGTTGCTATTTTCTTTTCCCTATATTTAATTTTGTTATCGAATTTTGTCTTCTTTCGTTTTGTTTTGTTCTTATTTGCTAGCTGAAAGAAGCAGATGCCTTTTTCCTGACTGAGTCCTGGGATAATAGCATGTAAAATCTCTTCCTTTCCTTCCCGTGTTACAGTTTCAACTTATATTTAACAATCAAGTCACGCTTAAAGATTTAATAAGCTGATAACTAAAGAATGACAGGTCGCGTTAAACGATAACTAGCTATGGTAACGAAGATGATAGCAAACTAAACACAAACCAGAAACTCCAGTGAAGAAAGAATCTACCCGCGACCAGAAGTGTTGTCAGCTAACCCACGCCAAACTTTTTGAATATATTAGGCGTCTGACGCCTGCCGGCGGACGACAACTGAAAATGAACGGTAATAAAATTACTCACGTTTTCATGTTTTTCGACGATCGCAAACGGTCAAAAAACAAACGCGAAACTGCCCTATATGGAATTAACCTTCTGAAGAAAAGATAGGAAAAGGAAAGAAAAGTTACACTGTAACGTTAGCGATGCATAATCGTTTCTTCTGAAGGGTCATCACGCCAATTTTCTCAGAGCCAACTGAGAACATTAAGAAAAACTTGAAACATTTCCTTAATAGGCCAGTATTCAGTGAATCAATCTATCATGCATACTCCTACAGTCTACAACTGTATGAAAACCTTCAGTCAAGAAGCAACGCTTCCTATGA